GATATGGTTATGAGAGATGTCAAATTTGACCATGTGGAACCATTATCCGGAATATTCAGAACCGGTTCTATGGTGGCCATATGGCTCTTTGGTTGTCATTTTGAGTGCCATTGAATAGATGTGATTTAATATGTCGTTTGATATGATTATAATAGATGTTATCCCACAGTCAGTCTATTCGAGTTATAATGGAGATCGCTACAGCTGCTGACGAGATGATAATCATTGGCGATACTCGTCCCTGCTGTTGTCAATGCAGCTGCCCAAACGCTCTCGCATATTTTCGCTTACGTCATTGAGCGACACGTTCCGAGAAAAGTTCCTAAACAAGGTAATCATCATCCTTGGCAACAGGGTTGCTTCCACTCACTTGCTATAAAATTATATTTTTCGGAATTATGCAATCATTAGATGATATAATGATTTGTTGTACTTGTAGGTAACGAGAAGAGGGTGTAAAGTATGTGTTTGACTCATAAAACCTGTCAATATCGCTTTCAGAGCGTCACAATAAGCGATCTTATGATTCGTGAGCGTTCACTCAGAGTGAGCACTCTCGAGTCGTAAAATCGCTGATTGTGACGCACTGAAAGCAATATTGACAGATGTTATGTGTCAAACACATACTTCACGTCCTCATCTTGTAACTTACAAGTACTAATTATCACAATACCTTCTCATGATTTCATAATTCTGAAAAACATTTTTTTATAGCAAGTGAGTGGAAGTAACCCTGCTTGGCAAACAAGTGAACTCCGTATGTTAAAGTCTTCTAAAAGAGTCGTGCTAAGAAAATACACCAAGTACCACACCCTACAACTCAAAGACCATTATGCGAGGATCAATCATGCGTATCAACGAACCAGTCGCCAATGTTATCGGCGTTATCAACTAGATGTTCAACGGAAGCTTAGATCTCACCCGAACACTTTTTGGAATTATGTGAATGAGTAACGAAAGGAGTCTGGTCTTCCATCGACTATGGTACTGAACGGCGAAAAAGCTTCATCCCCTCAGGGTATTTGCCGTCTGTGCTTAACCAAGTTTGCGAGTGTATTCTCGGATGAGAACCTACCTGACGAGCACGTTTCTCTAGCAGCCAGTAATGTTCCAATGTCTGGTCAATCTTTGGCAGCTATCAACAACGACCTCGCACAGCGGCGCCGGTGGGGTAGTGGTAAGCCTGGGTTCAATCCCAGTCGGCGCCGCCGGGATGTTCTGAGGCATAACATCTCTGATCAGGGAAGTAAAGCCGTTGGTCGCCGGTTCATGAGTTGATGGGTCGATAGGTAGGGTCCAGGTGTGGGAGCTGCCTCCCTGGCATCGGTAGCATTGGTGGTCAGCACGGAAAACAAGATTGACGGAAAACAAATCAAAGAAAAATAAACATCGACCTCGCTATGATAACTAGGGCGGCTTCGCAACTGAAGTCTTCATTTAATCCTGGACCTGACGGAGTTCCTTCCGTCTTTCTCAAGCAACACATCGATAGCCTGGTGGCTCCTCTCTGCCTTCTGTTAGAAATGTCCCTCTCCAGTGGGGTGTTGCCTTCCTGCTGGAAATCAGCTGAGATGTTTCCAGTGCATAAGAAGGGATGCAAAAGAAACATCGACAACTATCGCGGCATCACATCGTTGTGTGCCATATCTAAGCTGTTCGAGTTGGTCGTTATGGAACCATTAGTCTCTCACTTCAAGCAGCACTTGAGCGAAGACCATCATGGTTTCATGGCAGGGCGGTCGACTACTTCCAACCTTTAGTGTCTCACCTCGTATATTACGGAGAGTATGACAGACCATATGCAAACAGATGTCATCTAAACTGACCTATCAGCCGCCTCCGACAAGTTGAACCATCCTATAGCGATCGCCAAACTGGATAGGCTCGGTATAAACGGCAGTCTCCTACGATGGTTCTATCCTATCCTACACAGTTCAAACAAGTAGTGTAAATTTCTGTGCAATATGTTGCACATAAATGGAGCGTCACATATCATATACGTTTACATTATATATCATGTAAAGTTCTGACACATTTCATGCAATGTAGCAAATACTGTATACAAAAGCTCATCTTTGTAAACAAAATTGTTTGCAAGTTGCTCGATTGCGTGAAATGAAATACAAGTCTACGTGAATGAATGTTTACATCTGAACTAAAATTCAAATTTTTTATCTGTGTAGTTGCAATCGACGACTGCCGATTTCCTTCGTTCCCTGCCACTTCGGGTATTCCGCAAGGTAGCCACCTCGGCCCGTTGATATTTTTTGTGTATTTCAACGACGTCAATTTCGTCCTCGACGGTCCACGACTGTCGTTCGCAGACGACATGAAAATCTATCTCCGAATCCGAGCCACCGCTGGCTGCCACCTTCTCCAACTCCAACTCAACGCTTTTGCTAATTGGTGCCAACTGAACCGCATGGTTGTAAATCCAACAAAATGTTCAGTAATCACGTTCTCACGGAATAAACATCCAATTACATTCAGTTATATCCTAGAAGGCGTTGACGTACATCTTATGAATCACATAAAGGATGTGGGAGTCATCTTAGATTGTCAACTCACATACAGCCAGCATATCTCGTACGTGATCAACAAGGCATCCAGAACGGTCGGCTTCATGTTCAGGATAGCTAAAAGTTTCACTGACATCTACTGTTTGAAGTCGGTTTACTGCTCCCTCGTCCGGTCGGTGTTAGAATACTGCTGCCCATACATGGAATCCAAATTACCAAAACAGTGTACAAAAAGTAGAGTCTATTCAACGACGATTCATCGCCTTCCAAGCTACGAAAGTCGGTGCCAGTTAATTCACCTGGATCCTTTGTGGATTCGAAGAGATACGACAAGGGCCCTGTTTGTGGCAGACATTCTACAGGGCAGAATCGATTGTCCTTCTATATTCTACAACAAATCGACGTTAACGTTCAACCACGAGCACTCCGTAACAATGCAATGCTGAGGATACCTTTTCGTCGTACAAACTATAGCTCGTATGGTGCTATCAATGGGCTACAAAGGGTTTTCAAGCGTGTTGCTTCCTTATTTGCACGCGAGACGCTGCGTCAGAGATTCCGTGATAATTTTTTAAGAATTAGTAATTAAGTTGGACTTCACGGCCTTTGATGGTTCAATTCCTATCGACTAGCTTGATGTTCTTGTTGAGGCTTTTCTCTCAGCTCCACTACCATGAATTATTGCTGCCTGGTTCTAATCCAGTACTTGCTTTCGTTTCCGCCCCTCCATAGTGTATCGTCGATTCACCTTCACTTATGTTTCTGAAATTCTTTTGATATCGATTTCGGATCTGTCTGATTTAGTTCAGCTATATTATGCCATATATATTCGGTACATCTTAAATCGAATGTTAGGTGGCTGTGTCATTGTTGTTTTGAGTTCCATTGGCCATTTTCGTCGAGTAAATGTGATTTGACTTGACATGATAGATAATAGATAACGAATTTGACCATGTGAAGCCATAATTCGGAATATCCTGAGCCGGTTCTACGGTGGCCATAAAGCTCTTTTACTAATTATTAGAGCTATTAGTCATATTTTGTCGAGTAGGTGTGATTTGATATGTCCTTGATATGGTTAAGATAAATAACAAATTTACCCTTTTAGAATCATAATCCTGAATATCTGGAACCTGTTCTACGGTGGTCATATGGCTCTATGTCGAGTTGATGTGATTTGATATGTCACTTGATATGATTACTAAAGATAACAAAATTTACCATCCGGAATATCCAAAACCCCTTCTACGGTGTCCTTGGTTTCGGTGGGTCTATCCTTTTCATTTTCAGAGCCGTTGGTCATATTTCGTCGAATATATGTGATTTGATATGTCGCTTGATACGGTTATCAGAACTATCAAATTTGACTATATGAAGCCATAATTCGGAACATCCAGAATCGGTTCTACTATGACCATATGCTTGTCGCTTTGCATTCCATTTATCTTATTTCGTCGAGTAGATGTGATTTGATATGTCGCTTGATATGGTTATGAGAGATATCAAATTTGACCATGTGCAACCATGATCCGGGATATCTAGAACTGATTCGACGGTGACCATAAGGCTCCGTGGTTGTTCTTTTGAGTATAAATGGTCATATTTCAACGAGTAGATATGATTTAATATGCCGCTTGATATTGTTATGATAAATATCAAATTTGACCATATGGAAGAACAATTCGGAATATCCTGAACCGGCATTCTCTTCAGATTTCCCTTGAAACTCTCCTGAGAATTTCTTGGAATCTTCCATGGAGTTCCTTTAATATTATCCTAAGAAATCAATTCCTTTGGAAATATTCTCAAAATTTTAATCAAAACTCTCCTATTCAGGAATCCTAGTATATGTAGAATAGACTTAACACTCTCCGAATAAATCCTCCTGAGTCTATTTATTTTGAAATTATAATCAGAACACCCTTTGAATTCTTTTTTATAATTCTCGTTAAATTTTCTTGGAACTATCCTTAAAATCAGACTTGATGGAGCCTCACTAACGAGTCTGAAATGAACCGAGAGTACTATTTTTCTGAGGAGTAGAATTCCTACTCACACCGAGCCTCACAGCTTGTACACGAAGGGGAATAAAACGAAAGTGAGGTTTGCTGCTACTCATTTTCATGTTCTCTTTCACACGCTCTTACTCTCACCCTGGGTGAACTGGTGAGCTTCTTGCCTTGAACAAAAAAATTCATCCAAAGTTTGTGTTTACTTCTTCCATATTCCTGCCGCCATTCACTCACGGCGAGGACTGCCTAAACTCGCATGACAAGAGTATTTTAAAACCTCCAGGTTTGAGGGGTTTCAAACTTTACATCGGTCCCAAAACGCATAGGGTCTTCTAGTTTTACAGATTTGTACGCAATTAATGTAATATTAACTTTCTCATTGAACACCAATTCCAGCTCATCGCCTTTGCCGTAATTATATGCCAGCTCATTTTATAACGTATTTCCCTTCCTTCTCCCCCTTTTCCAGACCCTTAATTATGGACGATGAAGATGAAACCGCAGTGGCTCCAGTAGACGACACCCACAAAGCTGCCAACCAGTCCCAGGAAGATGAAGTGAATAATGCTGATGCACCCTCGAAGGATGCAGCCACCCCACAAACAGTGGAAGCCTCTGCGGAGGCAACCGACAGTGATCCACCATCATCTGAACCATCCAGTATCCCAGTTACTCAAGAAGAGAAAGACGAACCAGAAGAATCACGTGAACCACGCGCGGAAACGAGTGCCGCTGAAAGCGATAACGAACCAGAAGAAAGTCCAAAACAGTTGGGCGAGGAATCCGCTGTTGGCAGTCCATCAGCAGAATCACTTGATTCTAACGCATTTGAAGCGACGACAGTGCAAGATGAGGCTGCCTCTATCGAGGAAAACGGCACCGTGGAGCAAGAACAGGAGGACGAAGAAAAACGAGAACAACTGCCATCTCAATCTGAAGAGGATCAACCCAACGAACAGGAATCGTACACAGACGAACCTGAACTTATGGAAGAAGAGGAGGAGAATGAGGAGAAACAGGAGACACCAGTGCAGGACACAGGAACTCTGATCGACGAAGACGACGAACAAACTAAAGAGAAGGAGTGCAACAAAGAGCCAGAAGAGGTTGCCACAACAAGCTTTATAAAACATAAAGTGAATGGAATTTTGACGAATGAATCGTTGACGCTGGCTCCTAACGATGAACAAAAGGAAGACGGTGGAGGAACGACTAAAGTACAGAGTGAAGAAATCGACGAGAGTCAAGAGAGTTTGCGTGACGAAGCGACCGAACAGAGAATGGATGAAGCAACAAGCGATGAGGAAGCTCGAGAAGAAAATGTAGAACGTGAAATTGCGAAAGACAGTACCGATATTGACGATGAGCAGGGAGAGGACATGGAATGCGATGAGGCAGTAGATGATGACAATTCACCAGTGAACATGAAAAGTGATCAAACAGAATGTAACGATGAGTCAAGTCAAGGAGAAAGAGAAGTTCAATCACCACAGCCGTTGGAACGACGATTAGAGGAAGGCGAAGAGGAACGTCAACTAGAATACCAGAGAGACGATGTGTCAAGTCCTGAAGATAGCGAAGATCAACAACTGTTAGGAACCGATGAAGAAGAAGAACAAGTGGAGAGTAAAGGAGTAGTAACCGAAACGCCTTTGGACAGTCATACCCAAGATGATGAAAGTAGTTCGTTAGGTGAGTATTATGAAACGCATCAATGTAGTGTTAGGAATTTTAGAACAAACCATTTTTTCCATATTCACAGAGCCCCGAGTTAACGGCAACGTATCTCACGACGAAGACGAAGAGGGCCACGAGATAGAAGACTTTGAAGAGCCAGAATCGTCCGGTCTTAAGCGGCCACGATCGGTGAGTCCAGCGGTGAGCAACGGAGAAGTACAAGAACCCTTCAGTAAACAGTTGAGGTTAAGCGAAAGTTGTCAGGAAGAGGCAAAACCGCCGGATCCGGAGAAAGAGCATTCGGCTCCGGTTTCTACAGCAGTAAATGTCGTCACTCACAAAGGTGGTTACGAAACTGAATTGCTTCTGGAAAGTGGCAAACTGGATCAATCAATCGATTCGGGAAAATCCTCCCTGGGTGATAGTAACGAACCGGAAGAGGATGCTGCCGTAATCGCTGCTGGACTGATACCACCGGAGGAAACAGTTCAAGCAGATCCACAGTCAGTTGGAGCAGACAACGTAGAAGACGACGATGTGGATGACGACAAATCGAGTAGCTCAAGTTCGTCCAGTTCGTCGAGCTCTAGTTCCGATTCGGACAGTTCGGATGATGAGCAGGAAGATGATCCCAAAGAGGATGAGAACAATAAGCGAGAATCTGAGCAACAGGATCAGCTAGATGTAGAACAGGCGAAGCAACCCGACGAGAAGAAGGCCGTTGAGCAGGAGGAAAACGATAGCCCACCTCGGCTGGAAATCGATTCACCTTCGGAAGAAGAGGAAGATGACGAAGAGGAAGAGGATGAGGAAGAGGCCAAAATTACCAGAAGTGAAGGACTGAAGTTGTCCATCTCTCTGAAGCGACCACCCGCTGATGAAAAGCCTAGAGAGGAACAGGAAGAACAGCTTCCTCCGGTAATTCAACCGGTAATTCCTCAGGCCCAACCGCAGCCTGTAGATTTTAGTAACTTCTTTAACCAAGAAAAGCTTTTAGTCGATCGACCGGAACTGATTAAGATCGACTACAACAGCAAGCCGGAAGTGCACAACATCAGCGATCAGGTGCAGCAAGAAATGGAAAGCAGTTCGCTTCCAGCAAAACCTATACCAACAGGAGGCTTCAGTTTACTAAACAATCAATTGAAGACTAACTACGTGGGAGTTGATTCAACAGATTTTCTAATGGACGAATCATCCGACACATTGGATGAAGAAAATCGGTTAGTGATAGCAGAAAAACAGCGAAGAGGTAGAAAGAAGGACAGTTCCCCAGTGAAACAACAGCAGCTGCACCTACAGCAAACTTGGCAGCAACAACATGCTCTGTACGGAGGACCCCATCAACTGGGAATTCCAAATCGCAATGTGATGGCACCTAAATCGAATGCCAAACGACCTCAACAGCAGCAACGGTTGCAGCAGTCGCTTATGAAGTCGATGTTGGCCAGCAGTAAGCTACCTCAAATGCATCTTCCTGTCCCTCCCCCAATCCCACCTCAAATACCTCCTCAATCAGCTCAGCAGTCGTTGCTATTGCATCATCAGCCACAGCTACAGCCCCAGTTGCCTTCTCAGCAACTGCCCCAACAGCAATTTCCTCCACAGCAAGCAGAGAAGAAAAAGGACAAAAAGAAGGTGTTCCTCTGTTCTCCTTGTGGAACCCACTACGAGAACTGGAATCTCTTCAAGCATATGCGAGAAGTGCACAAGAAGTACATTTGCTTGTATTGCTTGGGCATCTTCCAGAGTGCCGATAAGTTGGTGAATCATCTGGAAGCCAAACATCAGGTGCGAAAAAAGCACGTGGCCAGCATTGACGAGTATCAACAACAACAGCAGCAGCAAAACATGGACATCAGCAAACCGCTGTACCTAATGTGTGCTCGCTGTGAGCATATTTTCGAAAAGTCGCCTTCCAACAATGGGGATGCAATCGTACAGCACGACTGTGCTGATTACCTGGAGCGATGCGGAAATTGTGGCGACCTTAAACAGTCCAAGCATAAATGCGAGAAGAAAGCGGAGATCCCGCTCGACCCAGCCAGACTATTCAGCAACAACAGTTTTAGTTCAGGTAACAATATACATAGTAGCGTTAAATTTAATCTTAACCACAACTACGACGGCAGTAGTGCTAGTAGTAATTCAACGGCTGTGATGTTTAATTATGATAATCCTACGACTAACGGAAATGGTACTCTCGACAAACTGTATCAAGCGAATAGTCTGGCTGGAGCAGGTCCGCCGGCCCCTCAGAATCGAAAGTCGCAGAACAAAAAGTTGAAACTGTCCCAACCGCAACAGCAAGAGCAGTTCCAACGTTTCAACAGTCCAATCCTACAATCCCAGCTCATGAAGCCGCTGGAAGCTCCCGTGCAGCTACCCGCTCCAGTTTCCTATCCAGCCGAGGTACTGCAGCATCAGCAACCAAGCTACGTGCTGCAGCACCCACCTTCTCAACTCAACTTCAATCAAAACACCACCACTACTCTGTCGACCATACCGGCCAGTTTGCTAAACGTCCAGGAACCTCCCACGGAGCTTCCGCCGGTGCCAACAGAGTTGCCCCCGTCGGTGATGCTAGCACAGCAGCAGCAGCAGCAGCAACAGCAACAGCAACAAGAACAGAAAGCAGACGAGCAGCAGCATCGGCCGCCGCTGGTGCCAAAATTGAAGGTGAAGATTCCGAAACAGTACTGCACACCGATTGAGAGCGAAGAATCCTCCACGGAAAGTGACTACGAAGACGAGGAAGCTGAGGAAGAGGAGGAGGAGGATGATGACGAGGAAGAAGAGGAACAGCAACAACACGGGAAAGATGACAAATTGAAGACCAATGAGGTACAGGTGAGTTGGTTTGTGTTTGTTTTTTGCTACTTAAAGATGATTAAACGTGGCAGTGTGTTGACTTCCGTATGAAAAGTTTATTCAAATTGTGGGTGGTTACACAGCATAAAAAAGCTGTTGAATATTACATCGAACAGATCCACATGGGAGATTCCATCGGTTGTGCAATATTCTGTTGTGCGATCTACCTACATCAATGGATGTAATATGGTACCAACACTTAAAAAATAACGAAGTTTTCAGTAGATTGCACAGCTCTGTTCAGAATCCCAGCGCGAGGACGGTGATCAGCTGCTCCTAACACGGAAAATACGCAGGGATAACAGAAGTTCAGGTTATATTAATTGATTTTCTCCAAAGAGGGAAGGATACGATCAAAGTTCCACCGGGGTTAGTTATTCGTCCTAGCCGGTACCACAGGGAGGTAGAGATAGGAGTTATAGTACAAGAGTCCAAGGAGCTACGCATGACAATGATGCCATTCTTGCATAAGAAGCACTCGTTTTTAATCCCGCCATAGAATATATTCCCCTTTCAAGTGTATCTACTGCTACCGCTATGTTATTCGTCTTGTCGTTGCCTTTATGGTTGTTTCTAGGACTTGCGCTTGGGACAGACTACCATCTTGCACAAGAAACACTTTGTGTTTGATCCCGTTATAAATGGAACAATCTACTGACACACAAAATAAGTAGTTTTCAAATCATCGCCATAGGTGGCGCCCAAATCTAACTTTTCACTTTGACAGACTGCAAACTGGTGATCAGGGCTCTACAATTTCGAAGCTCTAAAATGAACTCGTGTTTTGTTTCTCTCATACATACGTGTTCGACGCTTCATTTCTATAACGCCTAGCTAGACTATCAGCAAGAAACGAAAATAAAAAAGAAGGACGCTTGGAAGGAAAGGCTGGCTGTGGAACTTCTCGTCGTTGCTTTGCTCATCGCTTTCAATGTAAATAACGTCGATTTTCTAGTTAAACGAACTTCATTATGGCTTTCAATCCCCTTTCACGAACACTCTATCGCCGCTCTTTCAATTTGTTTAAAATGCGTTATGTCCCGTTTTCGATCATTTTTTTTAGATAAATATATGGATGGAAGATAAATTAGAAATATGACGTGTAATCTTCAAGTGTTTTGACGTGAGAAATGCTTTAAATGTGTTATTTCATTTTCCGTCATATACGTCATGAAACCTCTGTTGATGTGTTTCATGAAAGAGAAAACTATCAAAGTCGAGCGCTCTTTCGCTCATCCATTTCGACGAAGCTTGAAAGGAAGACCAATGGAGCGACGGGAGAAAGAGAGACAAGCGATTGAACATTTGTTTGTGCACGCCGACTGAGGTTCTAGAATGCTGCGAAGCTGTTCGACTTTAACAGAAAAAGAAAGCCAGCAGTCTCTTCGTCGCATCGATTTGGTCGATTGAAGCTGATATTGTGACGCCCTGCTGGTGATTGAAAGTTCACATAGCGCTAACGTGAGAATGAATTGTTATTTTTTAATGTAATCGTAATGTAAGCTCCTATTTGAATGAGTTTGTATTTTTTAGCTCCGAAGTCAGCACCACCCTTAAGCCACATAGTCCCACTGCAATCATAAACACAAACTAATTCTATGTTTTTTTCCAGGTGCATCCCCCAGTTTCGGAAACCCAGCAGCAGGAAGCCGCCCCCTTCCCAACCGCACGAATCGAAGATGACGTCAAGCTCGATCCGGTCGAAATGGACATCGAAGAGGAAGGCGATCGTCAGCCGGTCAGTTTGCCGCCGGAAATGGGTCCCGCTCCGATGCCGGAACATCATCGGCAACCACCGGAGGCGATGGCGGTGGATGATGAACCGCCGCCACAAGCAGCCACACTTTCGCCAGAATCTGAAATCTCACCCCCAGAAGCAGCACAACAACAGCAACTGGCGCCATCACCGTCGCCACCAACGCCTCCGCCATCGGATGGCATCGTGATAGCGGACGAGGATGCCCAGCTCTTTGAACTGACACTGGATGAACCGCTGGATAAGATCCACATACGCGAGTTTATCAAAATTTGTCTGCGAGCGACGGTTCCGTTCTGTTTGTACTGTAACCACGCGAGGCGAATCGCGGTGAATGGGAAATACTTGGCACTACATTTGGTTGCGACGCATCGCTTCCAGGCGACGGTTAACAGCATCACGGCGGAGGAACTTCTACCGGCCACGATCGTCCAGAGGTTTAAGTCCAACTTGGACGAACTGGAACCGCTGCACTTCAATCTGGAGACGTTCGATTCGAGTTGGACACTGGAGGAGAAGGCCGTTACCTATCCGAAGCAGTTTGAGTGCTTCCAGTGTAGGTTCATAACGAAGATACATAAGGAACTGTACCTGCATAACCGCAAGATGCATCAAAAGTCGGTGCTGATATGTTTGATGTGTCGGACAAACTTTTTCAGCTACAGCGAACTGCTTTGCCACATGTGCCCGGGGGCACCGAATCGACAGAGTATCTTGGATTATAGTTTCCGGTGTTGTTCGTGCAACATTGATGGGATCCCGTCGGCGTTCCGATTGATGGTTCACTTGAGGAAGCGTCACTTTGCTTGCGACGTGTGCTTGGAGCAGTGCGTCGAACAGGGTGCGCTGTCGAATCACGTGTGGAAGCACAAACTGCACCATCTGTGCTATCGGTGTGGAATTGCGTACCGAAACAAGGCGGATATTTTGAAGCATCTGTTCTGGAAACACGGTACTGAGGGGGTGGTTTGCAAACGATGTCTGCAGAAGAAGTGGCCACATGTGTATCATTTCTGCGTTCCTCCTGCGCAGTTTATTTGCGAGGTTTGTCAAACGGGCTTCCGGAAGTCGTTGGCATTGAAGGTTCACCAGCGGTTGCACAACGGAGAGGATAAGTATCCTTGCACTGAGGATGGTTGCGAGAAGAAGTTCATATCGAAAAAGTTGCTGCTGAAGCACGTGCAAAGGCACTATGAGCCTCCACCACCACCACCGTCTCCCCCAAAACCGAAGGAACCTACGCCAGAGCCGGTACTACCTGCGGCCAAACCGAAGGAGGAAGAAAGTGAAAAGATCAAAGAGGAGGTGAAGGACGAAGGAGAGGAAAGTAAAATTAAGGCAGAGGTGAAAGTGGAGAACGCCGAGGAGGCTAAGGGAAGTACGGAAACTCCTAGAAAGAAGAAGAAGAAGCGTTCAAAGGAGGACCAGGAGAAGTCCTTGGTAGATCTGATGAATTTGCCGGCGTTGAATTTGTCCGAGAGCGATAGCAGTGACGATTCGGATGCAGATCATTCGAATGCCAGCAGTCGTAAATTCCCATCTGCTCCAGGGACATGCAAAGATGAAAACTCCGGTGACGAAGCGCTGTCCGACCTGAAGAAGGAGGAAGTCAAATTGGAGGAAGAGGACGGTGAAGCGGAGAAGGTTGGATCTGAGGAGATTGTGAATATTTGGAACAACTTCAAAAACTATCAGGCCAGCCGAACAAACAGTCGACGACCTTCGCTGTCGGACGAAGTGATGACCGAGGAACAGTTTGTGGAGAAGATGCTGAAAAGTAAGATACTACATGTGTCCCAATCGGATCATGACTACTGCCTGATGTACAAGAAGATCTATCCGGAGGTGAAGGCCAGCGAAATCGGGGAGACGATTGTAATCGATGATGATGGCAATCTGGAGAAAGGTAAGCAGCAAGCATCGTTGCTGAAGTCTGGTGCTCGAGTGGGAAGCCCTTCGAAGAAACAGAAATCTCCGAGGAAGCGGAAAGCTTCCAAGAGTGGATCGGACTCATCATCCAGCGGCAGTGGAAGCGATTCGGACTCGAGCTGCGAATGTGGATCAAACTGTAGTTGTAGCTCTAGCAGTTCCGGAAGCAGCAGTTCCAGTTCGGACGATTCGGATAGCTCGGATGAGAATACTACAAAGAAGAAGAAAAAGGCAGCGGAGAAGAAGGAGAAAGATAGTCATCTGAAGCAAACGATGGCAGAGGAACCGGTGGTACCTGTGGAAGAGGAAATACTTGTGGAGCCACCGGAGCCCATCGACCCGGACACTATAATTCACGAATCAGACCTGGAAACGGACGAATCGGAAACGGACGAGGAGTTTTATGACGAACATCCTCAAAAGTTGGCCAATCAGATGCTGGCGGAGAAACGGCGTCAGCTTATGCAGCAAACCTGTATGAGTCCGATGAATAGCTTTGGTATTGTCGAGAATAGTCGTCCGTCAACTCCTTCCTTGCCGGAAGAAATGGTCGCCAAAAAGAAAGTCAAGTTGAAGAAGAGGAAACGAGAGCGTAAGCTGACTAAGAAAACTCCTCCTCCACCTTTGGAACCAATTTACAACATTCCTCCTGCATTGAATCTGAACCATGTGGATCAGTTCTCACCTGCCCTAGTTCCTCTGGCAACTCCGCTGACGGCGCCACCAATATTGCATTCAGTAGAAAGCCCACTAACTTCCGGTGTCCCCGATCATTCACCAACTCCAGGGTCAGCTTCCAAAGCTCTCACGCCACGGCTCAGCACCGGGAACAGTTCCGAATCTGATGCGCCACTCAAGCGTTCTCAGCGCAGCCGAAAACCGAACAAATTCTACGGTTACACTAGCGACGACGAAGGACCCCCTATGATGACCCCGCTGGTGTCGAAGAACCCGGAGAAATCGATTCTCTCCGTCATGAAACCTACTCCACCGCCCAATTTAGTGTGGAGCAAAGAGGATCTACCTTCGCCTCCAAGTTTAAAAATAAAATCCTCTAAAGTGAAACAACCCGATCCCAGTACACCAGTTACCTCGCGAGGACCTCCAGCGATCGCTCTACTCCAGCAGCAACCATCACCGCACCATCCGCCACGAGTGGATCCATCGCGGATCCCTACCGTTCCAGTGCACCATCTAATTCCTAGCCCTCTGAGCACCCCGCTGCACAACGACGCCGACAGCGATTCAAGCCAGGAAGGCACCCTTCAAATCAGTCAAAAACCCACCAAAACAACTCCTCATCGTCCACTACCACCGCTCCCGAAGCTCAAGCTTTCCGTACCGAAAAAGACCCCTGGCGGTTCTCGGGGTACACCGAAAACTCCCGGTTCCCGAAAACGAGCACCCCCCAAGCCCAAAACTCCAAAGTCCGCTCCTCCGATTCCGTCTACCGCAGTTCGTGCTCAAATCCCCCCCAACTTCCCTCCAGCTCCAGCTTCCGCTGCTCCGTTCCAGCCGCCCATCGTCGCTCCAGCAATCCCGAAAGTTCCGCCACTCGGTTCCTTCCCCAGCATACAGTCGGAGTTCTTCCCCGCCAACCAGATCCGCATTCCGGCCGGATGGCGCCCACCGCGCGAGGGCGAATCCGTTTACTGCTACTGCCGCTGCCCGTACGACGAGGTATCGGAAATGATTGCTTGCGACGGAGACAACTGTCGGATCGAGTGGTTCCACTTTGAGTGCGTGGGCATCATCATGCCACCCAAGGGCAAATGGTTCTGTCCGGAGTGCAAGTTGAAACAGCAGTCGTCGGCGGGCGGTGGAGCACCGATCGCTACTAATGTGGAACTACAGGACGATTTGCTGGATTCGAACTAGATTGGCGTTTGTTGACTTATTCATGTTTGGCAAAACAGTTCAACCGATGGGTGTTGCAAATAGTACACAAGTTACTTAAATGGCGACAAGCGATGGTGACCGGCAGAAATAATGTTAGTTCCGAGCTCGTATGGTTTAGTTTGAGAGAAATAATGGCGTATCTGTATAGCATAGAATAGTTTCCTAGTGCTACTTGCAAGTAAATATAGATACATACAAAAATACTGTAAACTTATGAAAATTAAACACACAAGAACATTTACAGTAGTCTAACGATTATGATTCAGAATTCTCCAGAAAGAGAAATATCTAGATGTAGAAACATAATGGAATAATCTAATTTTGAAACGCTTATTTTTGTGAAAAATACATCAAACACACATAGAAAGGAGAGAATCATTTGTTTAGATAGTTATTTCATCCTTAGTTTTACGCTATACAACTAGTTATGTAAAATAATAGATTTAGCTGCGCAGTAAGCAAACACAAACATAAAAAATCGTAGGACTTACCCGGAGTACAGAACAATAGTAGTAGTGTGTGCCAGTAGAGTTGTATTTTTGTATAGGTTTTTCTATTTTTTTTTTGTATCGCGAGTACGATTATTTTTTTTATGATTTCCTCTTTGATGGATGTGTTTGTTTGAAGAAAAGCGACACGCGTGTAGTGTTTTGTTTTTTTAACTACCCACATTACATTTACGCAAACCAATGAGTATAAACCACACATACACACACACATATACCTTAAAACGAACACGCTTGAGAAATACAGTTTGAAAAACTTGTCTCCATCTTTTGCATCTATGCAACATTTAAACATTTATCGACGTTCACACATACACACAAATAGTACAGTTGTGTTTAGGAAATCCTGCATGCGCAAAGTGTTGTTAAGAATACAAAAAAAGGTAAACAGTAGATTTACGGCTTTCAGCATCGTTCGTATGTGTGATGATGGTTGGAGTCGAGCCCCGGAAGAGCCGCGCCACGGTCATCATATTGTAGTAGTGAGAGAAGAAACAAATCTGACCTTATGATTTAAAGTTTTCCTAAACTAATCTATCAAGCATTATTGGAGGCAGGTGATGTGTGAAAATTTAACGGAAATATTAAATAATGTGGTAAAATATGGCATATTGAATAAAACGTAAATAAACCCTTCACCGAAAGATGACTGTGGAACAACAGAATTTACTGGTAAAGTGTAACGTTTAACGAAAAATTTCTGCAAAAATATACCTACCAACAACACATAGTCAGACTAATGTTGACGCTAATGGAAAAGTAAGCTCGGCACTGTTTTTTTGTTGTATTGAGAAAAAAAAACCCTCTCTGCGTTCGCTCTCACTGCCGGTAACCGAAAGTCAGTCCAATCTACATTTTTATCAATTTTGATCATTATTCAGTTTTACTTTTTAAAAAACATAAATGTGTTATTCAAAACAGGTGGTTTGTTAAGGAAAAGGGAAAAACAATACCAAGTCAAATTATCCCACAGCGAAAAGTAACCGCAAGTCATGATTTCATCAAATAAACTACAAAACAACTTCACTGCTATGGTTTTAGCACAGTTTCCAGTCCACAAAACTCCGTTATTTTAACGTAAGAAGCTACAACGTGATGTGCTTTATTATACCGTAGTGCAAATTATGGTTAGTTTAAAATGAGCAGCACTTTCGAAAATATCAAGAATAGCATAAAGGGTGTCCACGATGAAATTGCCACACTATGAAATTGCTCTAACTTTTTAACCGTTGGGTAGAATTTAATGAAAATTTGGGTGGATTTAGTTCATAGTGCATTATTTACATCCTGCAAGTTTTAAAGTCCTGTGATCAAAACTCGCGGAATTGGAGTCGAAAGAACAGCTCGTGTGTGATAAAATCTTGCGCATTCATCACAAGAACAAGGATCTCTCGCATCGTTCCATCGCTAAAACGTTGGGAATCGCGAATTCCACGGTGTCGCGAGTGATTAAGCGGTTCGAGGAACGGTTGACCACCGATTGGAAGCCCAGAAGTGAAGGAAAAAGTATTCCGTACAACACCAAAAATCACAACCGCGTAGTTGGGGCCTTCAACCGAAATCCGAACGCCTCCGTTAGGGATGTGGCTAAGAAGCTGCACCTAAGCCGAAGTTTTGTCCAGAAGGCCAAAACTAAGGCTGGGCTTCGAACGTTCAAGGTACAAAAGGCCCCTAATCGCGACGAGAAGCAGAACAAGTCCGCCAAAACCCGTGCCAGGAAGTTGTACCTCAACATGCTGACGAAAGTTGAATGCTGCATCATGGACAACGAAACATATGTGAAGGCCGACTTCAAACAGATCCCCGGCAACCTGTTTTTCACGGCCAAGGATAAGTTCAGCGTTCCGGAGCATGTCCGCACTCAGAAGATGTCAAAATTTGCGAAGAAATTCCTGGTTTGGCAAGCCATCTGCACGTGCGGGAAGCGGAGTGCACCTTTCGTGACCCAGGACACGATGAACGGACAGGTGTACATAAAAGAGTGCCTCCAGAAGCGGCTGCTTCCTCTCCTGAAGGCCCACAACGTCCCAACAATATTCTGGCCGGATTTGGCCTCATGCCACTACTCCAAGGACGTGCTGAACTGGTATGCGGACAATAAGGTCAATTTCGTGCCGAAAATGTTCAACCCTCCCAACACTCCGGAGCTCCGCCCCATCGAGAAGTACTGGGCGATTATGAAGCAGCACCTTCTTAAACGACCTAAGGTAGTGAAGACAGTCGAGGAACTGAAGAAAGTATGGGTTTACATGCAAAAAACGGTTGATTCACAGGTTGTGCAGAATCTTATGGCCGGGGTTAAGGCCAAGGTGCGGGCATTTGCGTATGGACTGTAAATAAAATACGAGTAAAATGGTAAAATGAAGTTTAATAGTTATTTCTCAATCCCTGAAAATTTGATGGCAATCGGATGAAAACTCGAATTTTGCGAATCAATTTTGTGTGTGGCAATTTCATCGTGGACACCCTTTACTCATGGCACGCACAACTTAACTTGATACTAATACAATTTTTACAGAACATATGACCGATTACCTACGAAGGATGTGAATAGGCGTAGGGCTATAATTTCATATTATAATATAATAATGAATAACTACACGTATAGAAATCTCCTTATACCTTTTGGCAAATTTCTATTACAGATTATTCATAAAATGTATAAGTCAACTAATAAGCAGACGCCTTGCAAAAATTTAATGAAGATCATGTGTCAAATGAAATGTATCAGCGGTCACACATACCTTTTATGCATTCTTATAGGACCTTGGTGGTTTGTCTTATGGAATGTATAAGACTGATGTTTGGCAAAAATGTATAAGTGAAACACATGAATAAAATAATTGATTTTCGTTTCGTGTTCTGCTCACAATTAGGCTCACTATTCAACTAAGTAATACAGTAATGCCCCGTTTTTGTCAGCCCCCTGATGAATTTAGGGCTGACAAAAACGGGACACTGACAAAATCGGGACATTTTTTTTTCGCTTAATTTTTTTAACATAATATCTTTAAATGCTGTTTGATAATGCAAGATTTATGTTTTAGGAATCATTCAATATATACGAGGCCATTCAAGGAGGCGGGGGGAGCTGGAATTTCAAACTTTTTGTAAGTGTCATATAAGGAAAGACATTCTTACATTGATGGTGTAGAGGGGGGGGGGGGGGCTAAATGGACTTAGGTAAGAATTTAATGGCCACTCAATGCATATGTGGTTAAGCATTTTCTGTAAGAACAAGAACAACAATACTAATACATAGTGCATAGTGCATAGTGCATAGCTTACAAAAAGGCGATAGCGGGCCAATAGTAATGGAGATAACCCAAATAAATCTCAATCATTGTGACACAGCACAGCAACTGTTGTGGCAGTCGACAACGGAAACAAAGTGCGACGTTGCAATGATTGCGGAGCCGTATCGAGTCCCTCCCGATAACGATAACTGGGTGGCCGATAGAGCAGGGATGGCGGCAATACAAGTTATGGGCAGGTATCCCATACAAGAAGTGGTGACGAGGTCTTACGAAGGTTTTGTGATCGCCAAAATTAATGGAACCTTCGTATGTAGTTGCTATGCATCCCCGAGATGGACAATGGAGCAGTTTTCACCAGATGCTAGATCGACTCATCGGGGAGCTCACCGGACGGAGACCAATCGTCATTGAAGAAGATTTCAATTCTTGGGCAGTGGACTGGGGAAGCAGATGTACCAACGCAAGAGGGTATAGCCTGCTGGAAGCTCTGGTAAAGTTGGACGTCAGTCTGGCCAACGAAGGAACCATCAGCACCTTCCGCAAAGATGGTAGGGAATCTATTATCGACGTCACTTTCTGCAGTCCGTCGTTAGTGGCAAGTATGAACTGGAGAGTGTGTGGTACACTCATAGTGACCATCAGGCGATTTGGCCAACGGATACCTACGGCAATGTGGAAAACGAAAGTATGCAAGCGGAGGTGGAAGACGAAGGCATTCGACAAGGATCTCTTTGTAGAAGCTCTCCGGGTAGACAGCAGCGTCCCAGACCAAAGCGCGGACGAGTTGACCGAATCGTTAGCGAGGGCATGCGACACAACCATGCCGAGGTAGACAAGTCTTCAACGAGGAACTCGTAGCAGTGGTGAAAGGGCTAAAGACGAAGAAAGCTCCCGGTCCGGATGGAATCCCCAACGTAGCGTTGAAGGCGGCGATCCAGGCGTTCCCGGACATGTTCAGGATAGTGCTGCAGAAGTGTCTGGATGAAGGTCACTTCCCGGACCGATGGAAGATACAGAAGCTAGTGCTGCTGCCGAAACCCGGAAAACCACCGGGGGATCCAGCATCGTATAGGCCTATATGCTTGCTGGATACAGTCGGAGAGCTATTGGAGAAGATCATCCCAAACAGGCTAACGAAATGCACGGAGAGTGAGCATGGATTGTCGGTGAGGCAGTTCGGATTCCGTAAAGGGAGATCAACGGTTGATGCAATTCGGACAGTGGTCGAGAGTGCCGAGAAAGCGTCTAAACAGAAGCGGAGAGGAGATCGATATTGCGCCGTGATAACGATCGACGTGAAGAACGCATTCAACAGCGCCAGCTGGGAGGCCATCGCCGAAGCACTGCATGGAATGAGGGTTCCTGATTACCTGTGTAGCATTATGAGGAGTTACTTCCAGAACCGGGTTCTAGTCTACGAGACGAACATGGGAGAGAAATCAATCTGGACCACGGCGGGTGTGCCACAAGGCCCCATCCTTGGCCCAACGCTCTGGAACGCGATGTACAACGGCGTGCTAACTGCTGAAGCTGCCCAAAGGAGTCGAGATCGTAGGATTTGCGGACGACGTCGTGTTGGCGGTAGTAGGCGAGACGTTGGAAGAGGTAGAAATGCTGGCAACCGAGGCGATCGACACGGTTTCCAACTGGATGCAAGGAGCGAAGCTGCAGATAGCCCACCACAAAACGGAAGTGCTATTGGTCAATAACTGTAAAGCTGTTCAGCGAGCAGACATTACCGTCGGGGAGAACGCCATAGCATCAAAGCGCGTGCTGAAGTATCTTGGAGTGATACTCGATGACAAGCTAAGCTTCAATAACGACGAAGTCAACTTCCACTTGACGCAGTTCCTGTCTGGTCATGGTTGCTTCAGGAAGTACCTGCATCGCTTTGGACACACAACGTCGCCCCTCTGTCCGGAGTGGCCAGAGCACGTGGTTTTCGACTGCCCAAGATTTGAGGTAGTGCGAGTGGAAATGCCGGCCCTTAGCGCGAGAAATGTCGTCAGTGAAATGTGCCGGGATGAGAGGACGTGGAGCGTCGTCAGCAGGGCAGTGACGCAAACTTTGTCGGAGCTAGACGGCTAGCTAAGCTAAAGAGAAGTGCTTAAGCACAGCCCCCCCGACGAAATACTCTAGGGGAGTTCCGGGGGGATAGTGGCTAGAGGCGAGTAAGGTTTTAGTGGTTAAGAGTCCCACACTGTGCCAGAAGGAGAACAAACACGCAACACAGTGACAGGCCGGGCTTTTGAAGCTTTCCTTACTATAAAAAAACACACACACCACACACACACACACACACACAGACACACATACATAATTTTCAACTAGCCCCTCAACCCTCCTTCCCCCTGCTTCGATCTTATCACCACCGCACATTTAATTCTCGAAAAATGTCATTATTGAGCTCGACAATCAATAAAATACGAATACGACTGTACCTCAACCAAAACTAATTGAATCATATAGGCTGACAAAATCGGGTCAAAAAGCTGACAAAATCGGG